AACCCACGCCCCCCCCCCCCCCCCCCCCCCAAAAAAAAAAAAACAAAGAAAGAAAGAAAGAAAAAAAAGGGCCTGAGAATTAGAATTGAAATAGGAAATTTAGGAGTACTAATTTTAATCTAATTGCCTCATGAGTTTGGACTTTGGACACAATCCGGACAACATTTGAATTGGAGTTTGACAGCCTAAAAAGAGTGGGAAAGGGTTGTTTGATTGTTAGATTCATGTCATGATTCAAATTATAGTTCGTAGTACGTTACAATATTTTTTCTCACAAAAAACATATGTAAACCGAGAATAGTTCTGAATCATGATTCTGAATTTATGAACCAAACGTCATGTATATTGATACCCTAATTTTTTTTAATTAAGACTGTATTGTGATCTTTATATATATATATATATATATATATCCACCCTAATACCACCATGGTTCTTGCTTTTTATATGTTTCATTGCAGGTACACCCTGATTAACGTCCTAAAATGTTAGACACATCGATCTATCGTAACACAAAATAGCAGTCGTGTTCACAGAGAGATAATAAAACAAACAAGAATAAAACGTTTGAGAAAAATAAATTAATAAAATAAAGTGAACATAGAGCATTTTTGTGATTTTGTTGCGAATAAAATTAAGAAAATAGAGAAAATTTATGTAAAGAAAATTCAATAATAAAAGCGGCAATAATCCTTATACATTGTTCACCAATTTAAATTTTGATTCATAAAATGAAAATATCGAGTAAATTAAATCCTTTTGTTAATTTCACAGGATTATTATTACAAGTTATCTAAAATTGACAATATATCATTTTGACAATATTACAGTAAAAGATAATTTGTAAAATAATTCAAATGATAAAATGGTGCATGACATAATTATATAAGAAAAACATGCATGAAGTTATATAAAAATTGGCACACTATATTTTGAAAAATAATAAAAGATATATGAGATTTAATTCACTCGAATATTAAACATTACAATACAAGAAATCAAAATCCAAACTGGTTCATTCAACATAAGTTCATTTCTAACCTCATCAAAAGAACTCTAGCCTAACTTGCACATCATTCTCATAAGTTCTAGAAAGAAAATATGAAAATAACAGCATGTCAACAAAAAATTGAATGAAAAACTAAACTCTCAAATCTTATACTAACCTCTTTATTTATAGTGCTCAAAAATTATTTATCAAATAAAAAAATAAATAATAAAAATAAAAAATTATAAAAGAAATGGAAACAAAATAAAATTATAAATAAATTGTAGAAATGAAATATTTGATTGAAATAATTTGCTCTGATTTGATCTATTAGAGAAGAAAATGTTGTGTTGGATCTGGAGAGAAAAAATCACTGCACACGTACAGGACACGTGGCTTATGCAGATTGGAGATATTCTAAAAGTACCACGTTTCTTTCTCCTACTGGATGGAGGCTGGCGCGCTGGCTTCATCTTGGTATTAATGCAGACAGTTGACGCAAGCGTACTTGCGGAACAGGCTGGCACACTGACACACAGAAGTGTGGAGAGCTGAAGACGCGCATGGCTGCAGAGTGCCGAGAACGCGCCTGCTTTTCTGGGCCCGTGTTAGAGACGCTCGTGTGCGCGTGTTGGAGGAGCTGACTTAATGGGACCCACAGTGCTGATGCGGCTTGGATAGCTCAGCTCGGCTCGGCTCCCTCTCTGTCTGATTTGCTTATGTAGCTCGACTAGAAGGCTTAGCTAGTGGCTTTTTTTATCTTCCTTTAGACGTTTGGTTCATTTATTAAAATTATGTGATTAAAATTATTTTTGATTTACGTGTATTTTTTATAAGAAAAAATATTATAAGAAACCATGAATCATAATTTAAATTATGGTTTGAATCCTCTAATCAAACATCCCCTAAATAAGCAAAAACTAGACAATTACGAGTAAAATATTTCAAGTAAAAATTATTGAATTATTAATTAAAGTTTAAATAAATTAGCGTTTATTCAAAAATTAGTAATATTTTAAGTGTATTTTTGTTCACTTATCACACCTAGTGCTGAAACTTTGGACGGGACGCCTGCGATCACCAAAAAATTTAAATTTTTACCCGATTATTGAGCTCCAACTGCCTAAATTTTCAGACTGCCTGACTCGACCCGAATTTCTCCTTAGATGGGCATCGGGCAGCCTTTGGCTGCCCGGTGCCAGACAAAAAATGCTCAAATTTTTAAATATTTTTTATATTATGTATATATATATTACAATTTAAAATGTGAAATGAACACACGAATTATATAAAAAAATTATTTCTTTATTGATTTTTAAATTTGTAATTCATGATTGTCTCGTTAAAAACCTTACAAAGAAAAAATCAATTAGGATAAAAACTTAGTAAGAAAAAAAGAGTGCAATCATTGTGGGACGAATTACAAATTTGACGAACTTACAAAGTCTATACATGATTACAATAACACTATACAAATTACAAAGTAAATAAATATTTACAAATTACAATAATAAAATTTAATTTGAAGCAGAATAATTGCCTTGAAAATTGAAAGTTAATCTATTAAATTCGTCAATCCATTCTTGGCTTGCCGGTGAGATTGTATCGTGTAAGCGTTGGTTGGAACGATCCCAATCCTTGATGCACACCAAAGCTTCAACAATATCCTGTTGTAATGCGTTTCTCCGTTCTTTAAGTATTCGGCCGGTTGTACTGAATGCTTGTTCGGCTGCAATAGTGGAGACCGAGATCGAAAAGATATCCATTGCCAGTCGTGTTAGAATCGGCCAAGTTAATACTCATGCCCTCCACCACTGAACCAAATCAAACATTTCACTATTGTCTACAACTTGCCCTCACTTAGGTACGCTATTAACTCATTGAAGTCGCCGCTGTTGCTACCACTTCTTAATGAAGATCCATTCCTAGATTCTTCTTGACCTTGAGTCATCATCGTCTTCTTCTTCTTCTTCTTCTTCTTCTTAGATAACCCGAAAACATTCAAGAATGAATGCAGATTGTTGTCTCGTTGTTGCGGTTGTTCTACACGAGGTGTGTTTCTAAACCTACTTTCATAAGAGCTATAGAGAGAAACTATTTTTTCCTTTATAATAGGAAATTGGTTAGTACTGTCGATAGCTAAAAAGTCACCTAAGTTATTGTTGGTTGCCGAATCGAATCCGGCTGCGGAAGCGCGGTGGTGCGGGAAAGAGGCGGATCGTGTATAACAAAAATTTTCATAAAACTTTTGAGATACTCTATAGATTATATTAATTTATGCACGAATAAATTAATCTCATTAACTTATATATATCAAGAACTCAATCAAGAAAAATACCTGGAAGCCGACTCGGATGATAACTTGAGTTCTTTGACCA